AAAAGAAAGTCCTCCGAAGTGCCTGTAATCTGTCTGTCTCTGTCTGTATTCACGATAAACTCAAAAAGTACCGAACGGATTTTTATGCGATTTTTTGAAACAGACCGAAATTTATGCTGACGGAGTAAGTAATATTACTTATAAAATTTAATTCACACACATTCCCCTATTGGAAACTTCTCTACACCCAAGAGAGAGTTTTCTTAGAACCATGAATGATTTGTCAAGCAAACATCCGCGTCTGGGCCTGACTCTAATTATATTAGTTTAAATGAAGTTAGCGACGCTACTGCAAATATAGATTTACATTTATTAATATTTTATTTGGTGACGTCTCTTTTAGATTTCTAAAAGTAATAAAATCATTCCAGACCATTAAATATGAAATAAGCTAGCACTGTATGAATTAAAAACGTGAAAATTATTAAAAACTTCCTATTTTTCTTTATTTCAGAAATGACAAGTCAAAAAAAAGCAACAAATAAAAAGGCGCGACATCAGGTACTATGTAGTAGTAACTTAGGTATGATTAGATGCAACCGATCACAATCTTACAAACTTAAAAGGAATATAATTTTATTAAATAAATTAGTCTAATTGAGTCAAGTCAGTCAGACGACTTTTACTAGAGTTGAAATTATTACCTCATTTCAAGCAAACAAAATTAGGTAACCATCCATCCAACCTATTTTTCGATACTGCATGGCTATAATTTTGGAATTAAAGTAGCTTCTATAATTTTACTCGCATTTTTTTATGTATTAAATTCATCGTCCATCATCATTTTAGTCATAGGACGTTCACTGCTGAATATAGGCATCCCCCAATGATTTTCATGTTGACCGCCGGTTGGTAGCGACCTGCGTCCAGCGCCTTCCTGCTACCTTTAAGATATCGTCGGTCACCTTGTATTCAATTATGTATGACGAAACAAAATTGATCCAATATTCAAACATGGTAACACCGCTAACAGGCAGTTCGTGCGTCAACACTTTTTGCACAAATCCGTTCAGGCTATCAACCGCGGAAATTGCCATTAGACGGCAACATTGACTATGGATTTCATGCACTGTCATTCATTCATCAATTTTAACAGTATTGTGGGCAATATTGAATAAATCGTCATGGTTGGATGGAAGAATCATCTAGGTAAATAAGTTTAACAAAAAACATAACAAAAATTCTTCTGGCGCAGTCAGGTAATAATTATTATAATTAATTGGCAAGAAAAAAGACAACCATTCAAAATTTTAACCGGTTAAACATTAATCAGATATAGACCAATTGTTTTAGGGTATAGAGATGGTGAAAAATCATACATTATGGAAAGCCCAGGAATCTCGTATTAACTAAAAAAAATCAAGCTACGATATTAGTAGGTACTCAGTGTTACCACAGTGTTACTTCCACAGTAGAAGTTATTTGATATCGATCCTTTAAAAGGAGAGTTGCAAAGCTTTCCTACTTCTCTGCCTACGACGGAACACTACGCTGGGAATTTACTGTTATTATTGTTATTTTTATTGTAAGCTGATCACTACATCATATTTCTGGATATCGATAGACCTCAATCCTCAAGGTCGTCAAAGAAAAGAAGCCCTGTCTCCTACTTCCCTAGTCGTTACTTAAAATTCGTCCACTGTCCACCGAGTCAACGACCGGCACACATTGCGGCGGCCTTGACGCTGATCTACTGGCAGCCGGAACATCGATTAGCAATGAGTAACGAACATGCAAGATGATTTGCTAAGCAAGTGGCCCCATCCAAATTGGGTGCGGTTTTGGAGTTTTGTAAATTTTTGTAATGTTGGTAAGATGTATTCCACTAATTAGATCTGTAACGATTCTAATCTACGAAATTCGGTGATTTTCTCAAACTTTTTTTGTAAGAAGATTTAAGATACGTATTTCTATCAATCTCTAGGACGTTTTGTGGATTGCCTCTGCCAGTTTTCAGCAGTTCCTTAGTGCTTATGTTTTCAGCAGCTCTGAGTTCACCAGAAATACAAAATGTCTACACATTTTCTAATTAATTTTATTATAACTTTTTAATTGTTTAATATATGCAAATATACTCATTTTGGTTTATTTCTGTTATAATATTAGGTTTTCTGGAAGATATCGCTAAATGTATGACCATATTGTGTCATTTCAAGTTTCTACGTTCAAGATTGACAGATTTTATGCAGTGTAGGTATGCTTATTTACTCTTGTACCTAGTTTTTCCCCTGAACTATTTATCCCTGAAACCCATTACGTGGAACAATCTAAGGTAGAGTCGAGTACNATGGTTATTAAGTATACCTAAATAATTAAATTTTCATAAAAACCTAATTCCAAAAGAAAGTCCTCCGAAGTGCCTGTAATCTGTCTGTCTCTGTCTGTATTCACGATAAACTCAAAAAGTACCAAACGGATTTTCATGCGATTTTTTGAAACAGACCGAAATTTATGCTGACGGAGTAAGTAATATTACGAGTACTAGGCCAGTAGAATTAAACACAAAAATTGATTAAATCGGAAATAATTCCTACAAAAGATTTTTTTGCTTTAATGGCTTCATTGGTTGCCCATTAAGACTTTCCTAAGTTTTCGACTTCGACGGAGTTGTGCTTAAGTGGTGGGGGCCCCCGAAAGGGGCGTTATTTCGGTTTTCCGGTTATACCGCGTAAATGACTTACCCTATCAAAAAGTGGTCTTCATGACGGTTGAAGGGCACTTAATCCTGCATTGAATAAGACCAAATTCAAATGTTTTGGACAAACCGTTCCCGCGCTAAAGTTCGGAAAAGTAGAAAATATACGTATAATTAATGACCCTCTCCACGTCCAATGGCTTGTTACCCACAGGCTTCCAAGTCTTGAAAAGGGCCACCTCAACCAGTGTAACCCTATCAAGGATAACGAGCTTGATGCGCCTATCCTTGTGCGTCCCAGCCGTTCCTTAACTGCGGTTGGTGCACCTCTTCCTTGCACTCTCCTGAACGACCCTGTGTTACCTACTGTGGCTGTCCCTCTTCCTTGCAGCCTCCTGCACGACTACGTTGCCTAGCCGTATGCCTGGTCCAAGGTTCGACGCCATAAAATTAACTTCGCACGCGTGAAAATAGTTTAAATACTATTTTCCGTGCTTGCAACATTTTTCTTTACTGCTTCGGCTCTATTAGTCGTAGAGTGATTGTATATATCCTATAGCCTTCCTCAATTTATGAGCTATTCAACATAAAAATTATTATTTCAATCAAACTAGTAATTCTTGAGATTAGCGCGTTCAAACAAACAATCAAAAAACTCTTCAGCGTTTTAATATGAACTTGTTGTTGTTGATTTTTAGCGTCAAACCTTAGACCAGGCATACGGCTAGGTAACGTAGTCGTGCAGGAGGATATAAGGAAGAGGGGCAGCCACAGTAGGTAACACAGAGTCGTTCAGGTGAGTGCCAGGAAGAGGTGCAGCAACCGCAGTTAAGGAACGGCTGGGACGAACAAGGATCGGCGAATCTAGCTCGTATGCCTTGATAGGGTTACACTGGTCGAGGCGCTCCTTTTCAAGANGGCCTTGAGGCTGATCTACTGGCAGCCGGAACATCGATTAGCAATGAGTAACGAACATGCAAGATGATTTGCTAAGCAAGTGGCCCCATCCAAATTGGGTGCGGTTTTGGAGTTTTGAAAATTTTTGTAATGTTGGTAAGATGTATTCTACTAATTAGATCTGTAACGATTCTAATCTACGAAATTCGGTGACTTTCTCAAACTATTTTTGTGATAAGATTTATGATATTATCTCTATCAATCTCTAGGACGTTTTGTGGATTGCCCCTGCCAGTTTTAAGTTCCTTATACATATTCTTTAGTATTGTTTTCAGTAGCTCTGAGTTCACCAGAAAGACAAAAGAACTACTCATTTCTAATTAATTTTAATAAAACTTTCTCATTATTTATATTTACAATATCCGCATTTTGGTATGTCTGTCGTATATTAGGTTTTTTATAGAAAAGATCGCTAAATCTATGACCATGTTGTGCCATTTCAAGTTACTACGTTCAAGATTGTCAGATTGTATGTAGTGTAGGTATGCTTATTTACTCAGTCACTCTTATACGACTCTAGTTTCTTCCCTGAACTATTTATCCCTAAAACCCATTACATGGAACAATCTAAGGTAGAGTCGAGTACATAGTCTAAACTTAGGTATATCTTTTTCAATCTCAGCTACAGTCGTCAGTCATTCCATAGTTTTACAGTTAAGTTATATTTAAAGTCCAAATGGATTGATGGACAATGTGCTGTTTCCAGAGACGCGTTTTGTTTATGGATTATTATGTAGCGTAGACAATCGGCCATTACATATTGTGGACGTTTGAAATACGGTATTTGTTGAGGATGTGCTGTTTCCCACTTCGAGCGAGGTCTGGTTTGAAGTTATTGGTTTAGTTAGTGAGACCATTGTTAGAAATTGAGAGTTTTGAGAATGTGATGGGAAAAGGCAATAATTGACGGGCACACGAGACTGAGTTAAATGTTTCGGAGACATTCTGGAAGATTGGATAGGCGATAGTTCGAAACCTGAACATAAAATTTTTACTGCCTTACCTTTTTAAGTGGAGTATTCTTTTATAGTTCTAGTTTATGTTATATTGCTGTCTAGTAAAGTATAAGAAATAACAATTATAGCTCATAAACCTAGGCAGGTACACGTTATTCACTTCATTACCTTCATCAATTTCGCTTTTAGTTTCTAAAACAATTCAACTTCCTAGCTTTTAATTTATGTTTAACTCGTGACTATATTTTACGTCATAAGTATTTACTAGCTTTACTGATGATATTTTAATTGGTTTAGAAATGGCATTAACTATCGCGGCATTAAATCGCCCATCTTCATTTCATACGTAACCTGGGCTTTTGCTATAACTTAGAGTAACTATTTCCGTGTTGCGCTGGCATACATTGCATAACCTAATTCCCCATGAAGCTATAAAATGAATACGTGCTCACCTTTATTGCTAGTGGACCAAAGAGTGCTGGGCGGACTGTTCCTCTTCGTCTTCCCATCACGAAACAGAAGGATATCAGGGACCTTATTCTGCTTGTTATCTCTAGGCACCACGTCTGGCGCTCTGTCTACATTCACTCTAACAAATTCTCCTTTCAACACTTTAGACTGACTATCTTTACTCAAAGGAGGCTGAGGGGCTTTAGATTTCTTGTGAAACAGTCTTTTCCTCTCAGGCTTTGCGGGAATGTCTATATCAGTGTAAATTATGCTATCTATCTCCCCTATGTCGCCTGCATCAGTTCTTATACCGATCAGGCTCATCGGCTGGTCAAATCTGTTCAACCCTTTCTGCTGGACCGATATATGCGTCACCCCATCGTTGTCGGTCGTCTGCATCAAATCGAACTCCGCCCGACCTTTGTCGTAAATGCTATAGTCATCCATGCTGTTCTTCCTATTCCTACTGAACAGTTCGTACGTTTTCTTCTTAGAAAACAGGTTGTCGCTGCTCGCGTAGTTATTCGAGTTCTTCGTGAGCCGGTTCCTCATCTTGAAGTACTTATACGTGAAGTATATCCTCTTGAAGTCTTGTTCGTTCTCGAATTTCAGGACTATCGCTTCTTTGCTGAGGTTTTTGGTTATGTAGAAGACTAGAGTGTGGTCGAAATTGGGGTAGTTTTCTATGTTGACGCAGTTGGCAATGTCATCGATGTTGATGTTCTCTTGTTTGGTTTTGTCGTAGTCTTTTGTTTTGTCGTCTTCGTCTTTGGTGAGGAGTTGGAGCTGGTCCTTTTCGTTGAAGCCGACGGTGACGTTGTAGAGGAGGGCGGGGGGCTTGGGGAGGCCGAGGATGTCCAGCTGTTTGTTGGCATGCAGCCACTGGCGGGACACCACCGCGGCCAGCCCGCCGCTTCTGGCTTTCTTAACTGTCATTGTTTATCTGTAACAAGAAAAGTGGTCGTTATTACATGAGGTTTATGGAATTTTGAGCTTAGTTTACAAGCTACACTAGACTGCATTTTTATTTAGTGTGTAGTGTTCTAACTAACGTAGGTATAAATCTTTATCTAACAGACGGTAGTTGTTGTACAATACAGTAAATTAATTAATTTTACAGAAAATAAAAGCAGTAAAAAACACATCTAAAACAATAAACTTTTATTATGTGTGCGAATGTGTCATTAAAAAAGACAAAACGACTCATATAAATTCAAATTGGCATTGAAGAATCAGCAACCTAAAAATTAAATGCGTTTATGAAGTCAAACGACAATATTGCTTTATTGATTGTGCGCAACGCATAAATCTTTGAAATTGCTAACAATTTTAGATGAAAATGGCGGACTTGTATGTATGATCAGGTTGGGTTTCAATAAAGTTTGTTTGAGTAAATTCGTTTATCTATCATTAAACTTACAATATCAAACAAGAGTTACGTATCAAGGTAATTAAATAATAATAAAACATTTCTAAAGGTAGAAGACAAAACACAAAAAAATATAATACGAGTAAATTTAAAGTAGATACACACGCACCTATTAGTATAACAGTTAGGTTACCTTCTATTGGAAGTTACTTTTGGTAGGAAATAGGTACATTATAGTAGTTTTTGATTAGAGTTTCAAAGATGCGAAGTCTATAACTTATTTAATTCACCAGAGAGAGAGAGAAAACTCTTGTATCCAAAAATAAAAGGAAAAGAGACAAAATTGTGGTTTACTTTTAAAAAGTCACCTAAATTGGGTAAAGGAACTTACGATAAGTGGCCATTTAATTTGGAGCGATATTGTTCACTTTCACTTGCTTTCTTTTTAAATCATGGCACTTATAGTTATAGCAATCAGATAGTGTCAGAACGTAAATTGATCTAAAGAAATCTGCGCAACGATCGGAGAAATAATAAAAAAAAGCAGGGTGGTTAAAATCATTATAATAACGTTGAGAAATTTTGGGAATATTATTTAATCTTTACTGCGATAAAATTATTATGGTAAATAATATAATTTTATTTCTGTTTGTCGTCACAGCTATCAAATTGTAATATCCAGAGGGATAAGCACTTACGCAGTTTTTACCAGATTTTTTGTAGTTTTTATTGAAAAAGACAAACTTGTGAGTGAATAGGTAAATAGTTTAGTTAGTTACTTACTACTTTTAAAATTACTTATGATGCTTGCTGCATCAGTTATCAAGTCCGTCCGTTTCAAAATAAAAGTAAATGGCTGCCAATGACATGATGGCTCTACATCTCTTGATTTATACAAAAGTGCCTAAACAGCTTTCTATGTATGAAAGAGTAATTTGAAATAATTATGATTATTTGTAAGCATTACAATATTTCAAGGGATCAGTACCTCTAGTAGGAAAAACTTTCGAGTTCGTTTCGTTGCGTATTCAAAGTGTCATCGAAAAATTTTGTATGAAAAATTAAACAGCGCCCCCTATATTATAGCCGCCCTAGGGGGCGCTGTTTAATTTTTCATACAAAATTTTTCGATGACACTTTGAATACGCAACGAAACGAACTCGAAAGTTTTTCGTACTAGAGGTACAGGTAGGTACACAATAAGTATCATACGTAAAAACCACAACACTGAACACAACACAGTCAATAAAAGTAGCTTTAAGTATACTTAATGTTGAATCCAAAAGCTTTCGATTGGTGCCGGCAATACAAACTACAAAGTTAAGGAAGATAATCTTCAAATCGGATGTTTAAATCTTCGTGTCGTCAGGTTGTCAAGAGAAAGCTAATTATCACGTATAAAAGAGCAATTAAAACAAAGCGTGCGATAGCGAGGCACAACACGCTTCCTTGGCGGATGAGCTGTGGTCCAAAGCGTGGCACAAAACAAACGCGAAAGTAAAAAAAAAAAGTATTGTGAAAATACAAAAGAGATAGACATTATGTCCTTCTGCAAAATCTATCTATCTCTACCATTAGACTAGACCAGTTTTTTTCAACCTGTGGGTCGCGACCCCCTGGGGGGTCGCCAAGCCTCTATAGGGGGGTCGCGAGAGGTCGGAAAAACTACCTCACTAAAAAAACAGTAAATTTATAACGATAGATTTATCTAAAATCTAATAATTATGCAAATGCATAAGTAAATTTTGTACTTATGGATTGAAATAATCAGTTCCTACATTTTTGTAAATTATAAAATGCATAAAAAAAAGCGAGCGGTCGGGGGGTCGCCAAATATTATTTCATACTAGGGGGGTCGTCGTGTCATGAAAAAGGTTGAAAAACACTGGACTAGACCATTAAGCAACCATGAAACTGTAGCAATCGCGACTATTTTTGAAGCCAATCTTTCCTCACATATCCAAATATTTCTGAAATCTGATCATTATCAAATTATTATAAGTAGATAGCATTTTGTTCCCTCTTGGTTTTCGTCACTTGGCCCAACTTGCTAAAACAATAGAGGCGTGGGACCTTCTTTGCATAATATTTAGTGCATTTCCGGCTGAAACTGGGTGATCTGTTGAAATTTTTATTTCAATGCCTTACAGATGTCTTCCCTGATGACAGGTTTGCAGGGTGAACGGGTTTACAAATTTTCTGAATTTCACGAGTTTCAATTTGAAATCATAATTTCTAACAACAAATAGTAACTCATTAATGCTATAAGGTCACACAAATAACATTACTATGGATTTTTATATTAGTCAATAATAAATCTATCAAATAAATTGGCACAGTAGAAATATTATAATTTAAGGAATTCCATTAATTATCATGTGATATCAAAAATTATCTAAAATCAGTAAAACATGTAATTACAATTGGTTTGAACCTGTGTTCGAACTTAAAGATAATATAAAAATAGTTATATTGAACATAAATGTTTTAATTTTGAACAGCTTTATTGTTACACCACTGTAGTCACTATACGGCAGAGAATGTCAGAAATCTGAGTCAACGATGAAGTAATATGAATAATAATGTACCTAATTCATTATTACTTTTGCTTCCTCAATTTTATATTTAACTCACAATCTTGCACTTACAATCTGCACAGATAATTTGCGTTATTCGTAAGATTAAACTCGAAAATTCACATCGTTAGTATACCTAACCAACGTAACACATTGTCATTTGCAAAAATTGCGAAAACCGACATAATTTCCGTAATAGAAAGTGTAGGTATGTTGACAATAAAATGATTTGCACTGGTTATTATGTACTTGAGGATATAAGTAGATAGGTAATGTCATTATGTTTATGCATGTCACAGTCGTTAGGTATAGATTAAATAAGCAATACCTGTGGCAATACTGAAAACGGATTACATCTTTTAAAGTTTTCTAAAGTTAGCTCGCTATCTGATTAAAAAGCAAGTGTTCTCACAACATTTAACTTAAAACATACAAAATTAATCCTCTCTCTCTCTTTGTACGGATGTTAACTACCTTCGGTGATCCACCAAAATAACACGCGGCTTTTTTAAAATATTCTTATCCCTTGCACCAACCTGACAATGATTTTGTAGCCAGGAGCTACAGCCGTAGGCCTAGGATTCGCGCTACGAGAGGTCTCACAGTGCGCGTGGACGCACAGGGTGATACTTGAACCAATAACAGAGCTTTATTCAACGCTGTGCGTTCCATTTGCTGTTTCAAATAGGCAAGCATCGTTTGTGAATACGGGCTTTAGTAATCTCGACTTAGGGACTATGCGGCCTGCTGCAATATCATTTTACTACATTTTATAACTTATATTTTTCTAAAATGGTTTAGCATCGATCAAATATAATTATAACCACGATTATTTTACAAAGGAAACCAAACAATTGCGACAAACAAACACGGAAACCAACACACGAATTATCTAACGCCAGATCAGGGCGTTCCCAGCGACATTTTCACCGAGACAATAGTTTTTTCACATAATTACATAGTTTAATGTGTGGACTTCTAATTGTGAGCTCATCAGCTTTCTTGTTTCAAAGAACTTTTTCTTGAGATGACTACAGAAATGGCGATAGAAAAGTCAACACGTATTTAAAAGCTCGGAACAATAGGGATTAGATTAAGATAAGCTTCGGTAATCGTTTCGAAGCACTGCTGCCTCTGAGCTGATAGCTAAAACAACAAATAGGAATGAACAAAAATCTGCTTTTTCTACTGACGCCCGTATTCACAAACGATGTTTGCTTAAGGCCCAGAACACACGGTGAAACGCTGCGACGTAACTGAAACTTCTAGTTACTTTTGAGTTGCATCTAAGTTTCTGCCATAGCGTCCGTTGAGAGACCACACATGACGCGACCAGTTTGACCAGCTTCGTTTCACCGTGTGATCTGGGCCTAAGTGAAGCAGAAAATCGAACGCACAGCGTTTAATAGAGCTCTGTGATTGGTTCGTGTGTCACTCTGTGCGTCCACCCGCACTGTGAGACCTCATAGTAATGTTTGTGAATACGGGCGATAGATACTACTTTCTTGTCCTAGCTAAAACGTCAAATTACGAATAGTAGTAAGAGACCATTGCTTATTCACTATGCCTTTTGAATGAAATAGACAACAAATTAAACAGGCTCTTGGCAATAAAGAATCTTTGAAAGAAAGAAAGAAACAAACAAAAATATGTACCTACAGTTGATTCGATTAGTTAGTTTTGACGTGTTAACTACTTATCAAGGTAAAATTATCTTGAAAATACACTGTTAAATTAATTTATATTACAGGATTTATTTCCTTCAATAAAACATTCATAAATATTCAATTACCATAAACTCGAGCCATTTACCCTCATTTCACAAGCCGGGTAGGAAGACGGATGTTTAATTTCAATTGCGTCGACAATAAAGGCACATAGGCTATAAATATACGAGGCTTCCATACAAATATGGCCATAATGATTCATCATCGCTCGTCCTTTACTGGGTCATGATTATCTGTGGAAAGTGGAAGGTGATCTTGTCAGATGCTTC